TTGGACATCAAAAACTAAAGCTCGTTTAAATTACGGGCCTTTTAGCCCAGACCATTAAACCCACGGGTAGCCCGCGAAGCCCGCAATAGCCTGCTTAATTTAAAATTTATAAAATTTTAGAGAAAATAAACTTAAAGAATTTTATAGAAAAAGAAAATAAATTACCTATAAATATGATGTTACTTATAACCATTGTAGTTCTTAAATTAGGGCATTTGTCATAATTCTACCGCTGCTTGATATTTTTTTCATTTACAATGATCAAATTATTCTTCATTTAAAAAATAAAAATTAAAAGATTTATATAGTATTTTAGTCTTATAAAATTTACATCATTATCACTTTGGTATTTAAAGATTTTTTATTTAATTTTGACCATTATTTTTTTTCATGAAATATGTTATCCATTTCATTCTTTAATTATAAAAAGTCACGTGATATTCAAATAATATATCACATGACACGTAATATTTAGATTAAAAATAAGAAAGAAAAGTAAAAGAAAAAATTAAAAACATACTTTTCAACTTTAAAGGCTTTACAAAAGAAAATTGTTAGATTGTATAATGTGATTTTGTGAATTTCTGTTTGAATTTCTGCTTGCAAACACTTATGTGTCTTCATATTATATCATTGAATAATCACGTTTTATAAAAGTATAATGTGGTTATTGTTTTATTTGTTTTTTAATTTGGTGATATAAATGAATATTATTTTTTTAATTTGAGTTTAAGTAATTATATCGTTATATATATATATTAATGATTAAAAAAATTTAAAAAATATTATTTTATAATCATTTTCAGTTATTTAAAATAAAATTTAAATATTATTTATTTTTTTGACGGTACTACCTTTCTTTTCAAGTTACTGGATCATTTTTAAAGGTGTAACAAGTTAGAACATTATTTTTTAATGCATTTAAAGCATTTAATTTTTTTTTATTTAACGGATCGCGGGTAAGCCCGTTTAACCCGCGAGTTAAATGGACTGGCCGCGAGCCTTAGAATTCAAAACTGTTTATGATTGCGAGTTTTTTAAACCGCTCTGTTTAAGCCCGCACCGTTAAAACTCACGGGCTAAACAGACGGGTAACCCGTATACCCACCTCTCATTTTAATACAGTGTAATTTTGATTTTTCTGAAATCAAGTAAAAAAAATTAACCCACAATTTAAATTCTCGGTTAACCGTAGAGGAAACCTGGAAAATTTGGCCGACAATCTAAATTTGCTTTCTTTTTTTTACTAATTTATTAATAAACCTAGAAAGAGGAAACCTGGAAAATTTGGCCGACAATCTAAATTTGCTTTCTTTTTTTTACTAATTTATTAATAAACCTAGAAAATCAATTCCCTATCTAATTGGAATAAGCCCATAGACTTGGTGTAGGGGCGTTGCTAGTGGAGAAAAAGGTAAAAAGGTACCGAGGCCATTGTACTTTTAAAAAAGATCTAATATAGTCCTCGAATTATTTTTATATTCAATATAACACTTAAACTTAGAAAAAAAAACTTAATATACCTTTTGAGTAATGATTTTGGTTATTGACGATTTCGGTATTGACGTGACATTTTACAATACTAACATGACGGTCATGGTACTAAACAAATTTATAATTTAAATCTAACACTTAACATTTTATTATTTACCTTTTCAACATTTAGTTTTTTATTTTATCAAATAGCACCTTAATAAACAATCTTTATCATTTTAAAGTGAAATAATTAATCCCTCTTATCAACCATTTAGTAAAAAATAATTATTCTAACAATCATAATTTCATTTTTTAAATGACATGAATTTCAAGTTCTATAAAGCAAAAGAAAGTCAATGACTTGCAAGATCTATAGAAGCATATATAAAATAAAGTCAATGACTTGCAAGATCTATAGAATCATAGTTTGCATTTACAAAGTAAAACTCATATATTGTTGAGTATGCTTCAATTAATGCTTACTTGCAAATTTCTTTTTCCCATGTGTACTGTGCAGCATATGAATTCTAAATTCTTCCAGTTTTTGGGATAACCCAAATGTTGATTGGTATTTATGTGTATCAGTTGTGGATTCTTAACTTAAAATTAGGGTTAGAATCGGATCGAATCTAAATCAGATAAAAGCTTTTAATTTGAGTCGGATTCCACTTGAGGGATAAAATATTACAAGGAGGCATCAAAGAAACTGAGCAAGTCAGAGGCATAAACATGTGCTTCTTTTGCTGATCTGGAAACAAGTCTTCTTCAAGAGAAGATTATCCGGGTACATGTACATGCATAGGATGAGTTGATTTTTTTTCTTCAGAATTTGCAATTGCAGCAATGGAGTTGGCTAGGGTTATCTTTTCTGGTATATTGATTTCGTTGCTTATGAATATGGTGGCAGCTGCATACTCATCGCCCCACAAATTCAAAGCCATTTACAACTTCGGCGATTCAAATTCCGACACCGGAGCTATATCGGCCGCCATTTTCCCCCGCCAATGGCCAAATGGTGAAACTTTATTCGGAAAACCAGCTGGGAGAGTCTGTGATGGCCGACTTATGATTGATTTCATTGGTATCATTTTCAACAATAAAATTTAGACATCATCAACTTTTTAGAGATTAACGTTCGATCAAAGTCCATTTGCTCTTAATGTTCAGATTTTTCAGTTCGACCAATTCAAGGCACGAACTGCGGATCTTTACAGAGGTTGAGATTCGAATTTTGACCTTGTTTTAACTTAAACTAATTCACGCTGAACTTTGGAAATTTTAATTGTTCATGATGTGCAGAAAACAAAAAATATTCATGTAGGAACCAGTTTCTACCAAGATCTAAGGAGTTCGCCGATGCACTCTATGTGTTTGATGTTGGGCAAAACGACATCGCTTCTGTCTCCTGACGGTTGGTGATGCGCAAGTTCTTGCGTCGATTCCCGATATGATTACCCAACTGGCCTTAGCTGTCCAGGTAAATTGCTCTCTTCTTGTTGAACTCTACAGAGATCGAACTCGATCCATGAACATCTCTACTAACAGAATGATTGATCGAATTCGAATTGTTACTGATTAACTTGAATTAATGAATTAACTACCTGAAACAGCATTTGTATACACAAGGAGCAAGGGCATTTTGGATTCACAATACAGGTCCAATTGGTTGCTTGCCATCAACTCTACTCAGCATCAGCAATCCTCCTCCTGGGTTTCTCGACAACCATGGATGTTTCAAGGCCCAAAAAGACATTGCCAATGAGTTCAACAGGCAGCTCAAAAATAGAGTGGTGAAGCTCAGGTCAGATCTCCCACAGGCTCTAATCACATATGTAGATATATATGCTGCAAAGTATGGACTCGTCAGCAACTCAAAACAACAAGGTAATCACTATATACCATGATCCTACATTAACATAATGGATCATTATAAAACATCTTAGCTAAGATGAGATGTGAGAGAGCGCATAATATCTTCACCTTCAGAGAGAGAGAGAGACGGATGTATGATTTTATGTTCGGGATGAACTTAAACTTATAAAATTTTAAAGGGGCGAAAATAAATTTTAAATAGAAAATATATGAATAAAATCTAAAATATATGGTAATTTTAACTTTTTAGGGAGTGACCGCCCTCACCTACTCCGCCTAGGTCAATCCATGCTCCTTTCTTCTTTTCCTTCCTTACGAAGACAAAAGATCTTGATACCGGTCAAACGTTCTTTAACCAAAAATACAGTTCTTCGTCTAAACCAAAAGAGTGAACTGCTAACGAGATACAACTCATTTGTTCAATTAAAAATACATTCTTCGTCTAAACCAAAAGAGTGAACTGCTAACGAGATACAACTCATTTGTTCAATTAATAGGGATAGCAATAGATAGTGTAGATTTAGATAATATTCAAATTCAAATATTATAATTATTGTTTATAATAAATTTGGAACATATGAGATCTATAAATATCTAACGACGGATCTTGATAAATAATTTGAGACTACTTAATTTTTTTAATTTTTAATGTCTAATTGATTTTTTTCTAACAAATGAGACATTTAATGGGACTTTTTTTTAATAAAAAACATATATATTTCTTTTTTATTTTTGCAGGATTTGTTTCTGCAAAGAACATATGCTGTGGATACCATAAGAATGGAATCGATGTGGGATGTGGAGGAATTTTGGCATTACCAAATGGGACTCAGATATCTGGAACTTAATGTAAAGACCCTTCTTCATATATCAGCTGGGATGGTGTCCACTTCACTGAGGCTGCCAACCATTGGATTGCAGATCCTTATTCAATGGTTCAATTTCAGACCCCCCTATTCCCATCACCCATGCTTGTTACCATACTTCATCACTATCGTCTGCTCATCATGTATGTTACTCGAATTCAGATGAAAATTTCAGAATAGATATATGTATCAAATATTTTATCATTTTGATTATTAATCTAAAATATATAATTATTGTTATATAATTTTTCTTTTCAATGTACTTCTTTCTCTTTTCTTATTTTCTTTGACATCATTAATTTAGTCACTTTAACCTTTTTCTCGATTCGAATTTAAATTTTAATAAAACTTAATCAAGTTCAAGATGAAAGATTGGATTTTCTCCAAGCACTCGGTCTTTGGACATAAAGAACAAAATTTCAAATAATTTAAAAAGTAAACTTCAATAACATCTACTGGACCAATACAAAAGGCTTAACATGCAAATTCATACTTGAATTTAATAAAAGAAAGAAAAAATCAAATTCAGTATTTGAATTTCTTTTTTGATAAATTGATGTCTGAAATTGAAAAACTCAATATATCACGTCATCTTAATTAATGGCAATAACGACTTGATACCAATTTTATAATAAATTAAAATTTTAATGTATATTTTATAATTTTTGAAAGGTAGTGACTAAGAGATCATTTTGTGATAGTTCAGTGACAATTTATGAACTTTACCCAGTAATTATTTAAGCAGAATTTAAACCAATTTGAGGTTTAATTGAGGTTTGGCCGAGTTAGGGTGTGAAAGAGAAGAAGAAGATGGGACTGGGAAGCAAAGCGGGAGAGTGGGCGTTCAAAGGCCTCACTGCTGGTCTAGGATTAGCCACCATTTATCTGACCGCTACTTTCTCTGTTAATGTTTACCGAGGCCTCGCCTGGCACAACTCTCAATCCGTAATCTCTTCTACTCCATCCCCAATTTTTTGTGTTTGTCTCTGATCATTTCATCAAACCCCATTCTTTTTTTTACTATTTTGATATTGGATTATCATCTTCTTTTTTTGCTTTGGCTTTGAATGAATTGTTCAGTGGAAAATTTCATGCGAAATTCATGGAGCATGTTTTGTAGGATATATCATTAGCCCATGGTTTATAGTAGTAATATTTTTCTTCGCTGCTGCTTTATGTTCATTAGGATGGCCTTTGTTATTTCGATTTGCTTTCTTCTTAAAATCATTGATGTCACGTTAAAAAAACACTGCTTTCCTTTATGAAACTTAATTCTCTTGAAGAATTTGATTTGATTAGGTTATATTTCTTTCTTTTTGTCGTAGGAAGTAGTATTAATATGTAAAACAATATTCTTTCTGTTTAGGTACTTTTCCTTTTATTTGAGTTATTCTCACCTAGTATTCGTTCTGATAAATGTCTTCTGGAAAATGAAAATGAAAAGAAAAAGGGTGCAATATAACATGAAATTCCCCCAAAGTTTTTGTTACTTGATGCCGAGTAAGATCTTCATATGCCATCGCATAATGCGACTGGGAATGAGATACTAGTCTTTGGGTCCTTTTGGGAGTGAAACTAGTCTGCTGCTACATGTTTTAGAACTTAAGGTTATCTACTGCTACTTCATCTGAAACAATTTCTGCAAGATCTTGAGCTGTGCACATTGCGACAAGATTTTTCGGAGGCCAATTTATTTCGGCAGCTTCCTATTATGATTGAAAACAATACTGAGGTCTGATTACAATCTTGATTTCCCGGAATTAAAGAATGTTTTGAATTATTTCCTATCGTTTGTGAAACACGTGGAAGCTTTAGTTGGGATTAGGGAACAAAAGGAGTTCCTTTATTCAATTCAAGTGTTGCTTTGATTCTTTATTTTATAAATTAACCTAAATAAAAGTTTTTTCGTCTGTGCATGTCCGGGTGTATGCATGTATAAGCGTGTATAAACTTGTTGCAATTCTTACTCTAATTTTTTTTCCAACTTGAGTTTCTGTCATCTTTATTCTATCGTTGATGGTTGGCTTTAGTCACAATAACTCAAGCAACAAGAATCCTTACCTTAAAAAGTGGTTAATTAGAAAGAAAGGGTGAAGGTCTTGTAAGGAGCGAAAGTTTTACTGATACCATAAATCTGATGCATAGTTTTCTCTCTTATGATATTTTGCCTAATAATTCAGTGACATCGGAATTTTATGTCCTATGGTATGTTCCCTCATAAATGAGTGACGACATTTACCAACATAGGACATGTTCCCTCCTGTCTGTTATCAGTTCTACGTTTCAGTTCTGTCTGAATTGTTTGGTCTTAACAATTTATTACTTCTGAATGATTGTACTCCATTAGTGATAATCCTTGTTTGATTGGCATCAGTGCTAGACAAGCATTGTTGTGCTTTGTGCAGAATCAAAGGTCTTTAAACTGAGATTTGAATTTGACTTTGATATGCCAGAAAAATGAGAAGCAGGGCTCCAATGAGCAATCCACTTGATACAGGCTTCCTTGCTGCTAGGAAACCCGTCTTATAGTTTTCAGAATTTGTGCTGTTGTTGCCTTGTAGGAATCTCTTAACAAAAACTTATTTTTTAATGCTTTACCAGAAGGGTTATGATCTCATATTCAAGTATGTGAGGCCTCTCAGGCTTGCTTTTTGTTCTTGTTTTTCTTGTATAAAGTTTGGAATACATTTTGGTTTGGAGTATATGGATAATTGTTTAGTATGCTGACGATGGATTTTTTTTTTGAATTTCACAAGCAAGGTTTTAAATCATGGTTTCTGTTTCTGGAAGTATATATGTATATATGTTTGTGTATATGTACATATGCATATGGGGAGAGATCTTGAACTAAAGTAATTTCAGTTTTACACTTCCATTACTTTATTCATATGTTTAATATTAACAATTCGATTGTAAAAAAAATCATGTTTTATTCGTGTAATTCAATGACTCTACATTGCTCTGTTAAAAATATAATTTCGGCATCTTCTCACACTTTGATATGCTATGCTCAGTCTTGATATAATCTGTACAACTCTGATATATTATGGTGTTCTGCATTAAGTATTTAAAACTGGCACACTTCGCTTTGTTTAGTTTTATCTTTTGATCAGCTCTGTTACATTTTACTTAGCTCTCTTATAATATGTTTATCTCTGTTTAAAATGTAATATACACTCTGAAGTTAATCTACAAATGAAAAAGAATATTTTAATGTCATTTTACATATTTAAAATTATGATATTATTTATTTACTTTTACTAATACAATGAATACATTGATATATTTAAAAGTAAATGATTGAACCAATCTTCACAATAGAAAGAAAAATTGATTTATTTAATAATAGAGAGACTAAATTGATACAATCCCTATTATCAAGGGACTTAAATGACATAATAGACACATATGTATACTACATAAAATAAAAGTAGACAAATTGACAAAGCTTCAAAAAGGTTTAGGGTCACTGAAACTTAAAATTTATGTTTCTTGGGGTTTAGGGACTAATATATAATTTATTGATCAATTAATCCGGATCAGATTTTAACAACTTGTGAAAACATCTATTTCAATTCATTTTCTCTATTTCCACGAACCTCCGACCTTTGTTTAAAGAACCTAACGCCTCACCCACTATATTAACTGATAGTATAATCAGTTATAAATATGTCCCCAACATATATCATCAAATACAAATATTTCAGGGAAAAAAAATTAATCAAATACAAATATTTCAGGGAAAAAAAATTAAGAGTAGATGTAACGCAAACGAAGAACATGGAAACGGACCTTTTTTTTTAAGTATAATAAAACGAACATCTTATTTGCGAAATCCTGTACAGATCAATACTGAGTTAGAGAAGAACAAAGAGTTTGCATTGAACCAAATAAAAGAACAAATAATAACCTTCAATTCTGAGGTAAATTCCATCTCACAGACAACTTTCGTAAACTGGTCGGGATCTGCTCCACCATTAGTCGGGTCGAATCTGCTCTCTACCTTGGCAATCAAAAGCCAGCCACTATAAAAGAACTGAAATAAGTTGGATTGTTAACCAAAAACTCAAAAAGGGAAATAACAAGCATTAAACAGCATTTAAACATAATAAACCTCGGCTTGAGAACTCTATATGCTTCCCGAAGATAACTAGCATAGTTAGTCCCCATCAGTGAAAGGCAAAAAACAGCAACATCAACTGAGGAAGAATCGAGCGGTACCTGCCATTAGAACTCAAAAATGAATCTGTTACTATTTTGAAAGCATCTGACAACTTGTGTAAGCTTGTACTTCCAAGCACAGTAGCACATGTAGAGAGGCAGAGGCTTTGTAACTGATAATTACAACACTGTATATGTAAGGTTATGGATAACATGATTTGGTCAACAACCATAGTATGACAAGCTCATAAAAGGGATAAAGGGACATACATTTGACATATCGCAAGCAATTACCGAAGGGTTGTTCGAGACAAGATCAAATGAGAAAACCTTATTCTTCACGTTTTTTGCAAGGCGTGCATCACCTGTAACACAATCGAGCAGGAACACAATGAACAAACAGTCAAACACAAGGTGATAACAGATCATGTTAAACATTTACTAACAAATATGAGTCTGAAGAATTATCCTCGCTAATACAAAGTGAAAAATCTAATTAAGAGGGTTCTCACCACAACCGAAATCAGCTACGATTAAAGAAGAACTACGACCCTTCAGCCATTTTATGATCTTATTTACCGGCTGCTCAGGCCAATGTGACATTTGCTCCTGATATCCAGTATGGTACTGGCCAAAGAAGTGAAATGGATAAGTCAAATGCAGCTTCAATTCAATACAACTCAGCATCAACTAGTACATGTACAAACATAACAACAAATTTTATGAAAAATCTATGCTTCCTCTGTGACTCATCAATTTTTCCTCGAACTACCTGTGTCTGAGTTACATGGACATGTATGGGGAAATGACATGACACATGGAAAGCTGAACATACCCATTTGGACATGCATATATATCCAACACTCACTGAACATACCCATTTGGACATGCATCTATATCCAACACACACATGTATGTATATCTATATGTAGCTTACCATATTAAACAATTCTGGGTCTTCTTTGAAATAGTCCAGTGCTTCTTTGCCTCTAAGATAACACGAAAAAAGAAACAGACTTTGAATTATCAAGTAATAAGTTATAATTTCAACTATGAACTTTACTATGAACTTTACTACGAAAGAAAAAAAACAAGATAAACCAGAAGCTTATACATAACATTAAAATCAAGAAGTGGAATTTCTCACATTAAATAAAAAAACATTTAAAAAGGAAAGAGTGATAAAGAAAGAAAAATACGTGCAAGTGTAAAGCTTTTCGTTGATCATCCTAAAATGGCCACCAGCCAACCTTGCTCTCACCTGCAAATTCAAATTAATCCAATTTCACATTCATTTTATAAAACATACAAAAGTACACATAAAAAGTACAAGTGTAAAGCTTTTCGTTGATCATCCTAAAATGGCCACCAGCCAACCTTGCTCTCACCTGCAAATTCAAATTAATCCAATTTCACATTCATTTTATAAAACATACAAAAGTACACATAAAAAGTAACCTTGTCAAGAAGAAGAAGAAGGAGGAGGAGGAGGAGGAGGAGGAGGAGGAGGAGGAGGAGGAGGAGGAGGAGAAAAAGACTTGGGTGGATTTGAAGTGGCTGATGTGTGTTTTGATAGGTTTTCTTCTTATGTTTGATTGAGTGTTTTGGTTGCACATATTCTTCGATTCTTTGAGGTTTGTTATGTTTTATCCTTCCCTTCTTCCTGTTTTGTCCTTTCATGGTGTCTGCTCTAGTTTCATCCACTGGCTTCGACAGCCTCCAAAACCGGGGATAGCTCCGATGCGGTAGACTAAAAAACGGCTAAAATGCTACTGATTTTGTTATTGTGTTAAATAATAAAATCGGTAAAAATTACCGGAAACATTATTAGGCGTTACCGGTTTTGTTATTATTGAGTGTTTTTTACAAGATTTTTGAAAAAAATACCGGAAACATTATTAGGCTTAAAAAATAACTGGATTAACATAATATTTTAAGTAATTACCAGAAAAATTTAAGTAATTTTTACCGGTTTTGTTATTTAAACGATAACAAAACCGGTAACACCTTATTTTAGCCGTTTTTAAGCCTACCGCACTGTAGAACTTCCCCTCCAAAACCCTTTTTCTCTATTTTTAGTTATGATTTTGCAGAAACAATTAGGCTGTTTAACATTGCCATTGGATGCTTTATCAGTTTCTGATGCCCCAATTTTCACTGTTAAAAGGCCCATCAAAGATGATCCGAAAGAAGATAAATAAAAGGTTGGGGAATCAATATCGCAAAGAGAAAATAACCTTAATAACCGAAAATGCCTTATAATATACGATTTTAACTAACTTTTTTTGGATTTGCCAAAATGACCAACAAATTCGCAACGCGAAATTCAAATTTGCAACGCGAAAGTCAAATTTGCAACGCGAACTCCAATTTCGCAACCAAGTTTCCAGTTTCGCAACGCGAATATGTAAATTGCAACACAAAAGTCAAATTCGCAACGCGATAGTCAACTTCGCAACACAAAAGTCAAATTCGCAACACAGAAGTCAAATTCGCAACACAAAAGTCAAATTCGCAACGCGAAATTTCAAATTCGCAACACTAATTTAATTTCGCAACAGGTTTTAGTTTCGCAACACAAATGTTTTGGGTATATAATAACGCAACAGCAACAACTCATAACCTAAATCCCTAAATCGCAACTTATTCCATCTCCATCTATCACTCTCTCCGGCGACATCCGTTCCTATATCCAATGACATCCTTCCCCATCTCTAATTTTTTTTACATAATTTTATTTCTATATAATTTTTCAATGATTTCTCTCCCAAATTATCAACTATCAACTTAATAAAGGTATTTTTTGCTCTAAGTTAGTGATGATATCTAGTTTATAGCTCGTTTGTTTAGTAAATTAATTTACAATTTGTAGAATGAAATCATCTAATATTGATCATGTTTGGATAGATTTGTGTTTTGGAGGGTCATGGGAGAATGTTCATTGTGTTTTACAATATGTGCCTTTACCAATGAATCTTCAACTAAAACTGTCATTAAAAAAGTTAACTTATGAAACTCTAATGTTACGTGTTGCAAAGAAATTGAATTTAGAGCCTCTAAGTGGATTTAGGCTATCTTATCAAAGAAAAGGTAAAGTTTATTTGTTAACTGACAATGAAGATATTGAACGATTCATTGCTTACATTAGTGTTTCGCAAGAAGATGATGTTACATTGTATGTTGTTGAACCTAGAAGTAGTGAAGTTGGGCCAGTAGCGGGTAATAATCAACTAAGTTCTTCAACCCCAGTTTATGGTGCTCACAATGTACACCGTTGTTATCAACCTCAAAATTTAATGGTTCCACCACAATTTCATCACCAAAAAAATTTTGTTTCACCACATTTCTAATACCAAACACAATATCAAACACAATATCAAAACCCACAACCTTTTCCTAATCCAAATCCCAATCAACTTTCAGCATCAAATTTCGATTTTCGTATTGACCAGTTAGACGATTATGAGCCAACAGAAAAAATTGTGAGTACTAGTCAGTATTCGAAATTTGATCTTGGTCAATACCCGGACTTTGATCTTGGTCAATACTCAGATTTTGATGAT